ATAGGCACCAACTCAAGGAACTCCTCAGTGACGGTCAATGTCTCCTTAACTTCACCAATAAATATGACCAGTTGAGCAACGTCTGTAATGTCAGTGCTCTCATCAGTTGCAACAGAAAATGCAAGAAAGGACTTGACTTTGTGTTTTAACTGGCTGTCCAAATCTGCCGACGGTTCCCAAATCCTCTCTGCTATAGTGTTCCTTGTCAAGCTAATGTTGGCAAAAGCTTGTTGCTTCTTGGGACACACGAGTTCTGCAGCCTTCATCATGCATGTTTTAACAAACTCTCCATCGAAATACGGCTTTGATGCTAATGCTAGTTCATTAGCAATTAGGTAGCTGGCTTTCACCGCTGCTTCACCAGTTTTGGCCCGCGGGTCGTAAGCCAGACACGCCTGCCATAGATGCTTGATTGGCTCGGAGGTGGGCAGTTTGCAGCTCTGTGTGGTGCTGCTGGACCTGCTGTCGTTGAGCGTGTGCTTTGTCTGTGACAGCGTTCAGCGAGTCAAAGTAACACCATGAATGAAAAACCAACGTTTCTCAGCAGAACATGATGGATGTGATAATCTTCCCCATCAGTGGTTTTAATGTTGTGGCTGCCCAGTCCTCATTGTCCTCGTCAGGTTTAACTACAGCGTGAACACGTCAGTCCCGTCTCCAGGGGAAACCGTCTCCATCAGCGCTCAGCGCAGCTCATTGCAGGCTGACATTTTACCTACTGTTTCATGTGGGTAATTAAACTGTGAGATGTAGGCCACTGGGGCTGCTGCTGACACACATCGACTGACATTAAAGGACTCAACCAGATGAAATGAAATGTAAAAAAAAAAAAAAAAAGCCAGAGATAACCAAGACATCAAAACACACAGGCTCCACATGGAGTTTAGAAAATATTCAGACCAAAGGCACTTTGCAGGTTTTAGTGAATCAAGAGAACAGCCAAGATCCCTGGATGATATCACCAATTAATTTGTCTTCAGCGGAGCGAGCAGGTGGGTTAAAGAAGGACTTCCTTGTTAACAGAACGCCCCAAAATGAACTGTGAGGAACAGAATCAGTGGAGCAGAGGAGAGGACTGGAGCGAGTGTTTCTGTGAGATCGGCATCCGTCCTCTTTGCATACTGATGCTGCCTCACAGACACACACCTTGTTTCACATCAGCAGCTCTACACTCCCTCCACCCTGCAGCCCTGACACAGTTCATCATGAAGAGTTGCTGCTGCACGCTGCTGATTCACATAATTATTTCATGCTTCCTATTCTCTGCCCTGGTGGTGTTTCTTGGAGGGTTTACACTCTCTCAGCTGTCCTTTTCCTCTCTGTCAAGCCGAAAATAACTACAGGCAACTAAAAAAATGAAACCGCTGGATCTGGCTGAGGCGCTGGGAATCCGTGTCACAGGAAGATGATGGAGGTGGCAGCTGCTAAAAACAGATCAGCTCTGTGTGGCGCTGACTGACGCTGCAGCTTCCCCATCTCGCTTTTGTTAGCGTCCTTCACTGGAGAGGAGCAGAAAGTAAGTTAGAGTGAAAAGCTGCAGCCACAACTCAGCGTGATGTCGACAGATTTCAGAGCTTCTGAAAGCCGCCTGTAATTTAAAAGGATTAAAAAACAAACAGAAGAAATAACCCTCTCACACGTCGCTGCTCCAAAACACATTTCTTTATTTGAATCATCTGAATTACCACTTCCAGCATACAGCATGAAAACATCTCGCTGCATCGCTTTTTTTCTGCAGCATTTTTTAAAAAGTAAAAAAATGAGTATTAACCAGGCAAGCTTGACTATGAAGTACGGAGGAGAGGGAGGTGGCTCTCCTCGGTTTGTGCTAATATCGGAGTGTGAAAGTTTTACATTTCTTTCAAAGGAATCTTTTTTAAAAAAAAGAAACGGACAACACAAGCTGTCCTCGGCCTCCTCATCCTTTGCAACAAAACACGTCCCTCAGTGTTGGGCGAGGCTTGACAACTGCAAGATTACAATTATGAGACAACATTCGCTTGATTTTGGGGCGACTCAAACTCTTGCTTTCACATGTTGCTGTTGGGGTGCAATGAAACCTAAATGAGCTGTTGGTAGCCTTTACAGTGATTCTTCCAGGCAGAGAGCGTGCTCTGATATTGCAGGTCTCAAGGCAAGTCGGACAAAATGAAACCCCACGCGGGTACAGACCATGCTGAGATATTGTACACATCAGGTACCGTGACTACACAGAAACACAGAAACTCATCCGCTCATGTCAGGTGAGAAGATGCAAATTTACAGGAAATCTCTTTCAGTATAACATGTCTACTCCACAATCCACGTACACACCACGAGTCCCTTTATTGTTTTATGACATACAGGCCTGCCACGGTCACATACAGTATAGTTAGTACACCAAGTGTTCCTCCTCATCACGTCTGTGCTCCTGCAAGTCTACCGTCAGGCTGCGACTACAACCGGCCTGACTTTGTGCTCGTCACTCGTTAACAGTCATATATGTGATCCACCCACAAGCTAAGTACAGTACATCTGGATTTTGTGCAAATGAAAAAAAGAAAAAGAAACGTACGAGTCCCTTATTTGAAATATTTCGTTAAAAACTGAGGAAGTCAGATGGTTGTCGACATTCAACTCAACTAGACGGAGCTTTGATGAAGAAGGTGCAGTTTTCTCCACGTCTGGCCCCGACTTGTCACTTTAGTCCTTTTACACACAATCACAGTTGAAAAGCGCACGAGTCGGTGGCAGAAGGACTCGGTGTGTTGGTGCTGAGCGGAGAGTCGGCCTGACACGATGTTCTATGACAGAAGGTGGCCTCCGTGTGAGAGCTGGTTTTGAAACACACACACCTGCAAACATTCAGAAAGCCTCCATCCAAGGAGGCGCTCATCTAAACTGATATCGATGTTTTGTTGGTTGTAAACTGGCACTGGTCAGGACCATACCATGTGGCAGCAGAGAGGGGAGCCGGGCGTCTCTCTGGCTGGACAGCCGCTCGCCGTATGGCTTCGTGGGAAAGGTCTGGCTGAGGCCATGGGAGAAGAGAGGAGGTGACGACAGATGATTTGGCCGGTTGTCTCCGGCAGTGCAGGATGTGCTTCGAGTAGCCAGGTCGGCCCTGTTCTCCCACGTGGCCTCGGTCCAGACCCTTCCCTGTAGAACCCTGCCGGGCCGCTCGGCTCATTTCTCCATGAGCGACAGCTGGATGATGCGCTGCAGCTCCTCCTCCTCCTGCCGCCGGCGCAGTTCCGCCTCCTCCTGCTCCCGTGCTGAGATCTCCATGGCGATGCGGAGCTGCTCGTTGTAGCTGCAGGGGGTCGGCGGTTTCTTGGAGGGCGTGGAGCCGAGGCTGGAGGGGGGGCGAGGCTTGTGCTGGGGGGTCCTGGGCAGACGGAAGCAGAGAGATGGTTAGGGAGATGGTTAACCCTAACCCTAGTAGGAATGACTTCTGGGTGACTAGTTGGTGAAAAGCCCTCGAGCAACCAG